GACCTATATAATTAATTACCGAAAGTTCATATAATTAACCGATAAAAGTCCATATAATTTGTGAAGTATTAGTACACCATTTTAGGTAGTTAGAGAATTTGTAAACAATTTTTTATTTATTTTGAAATACAAAATTTTGAATCTTTTAGTTTAAAATATAAAATTAGTTTATAACGTGTATATGATAAAACATGAAAAGAGACAAAAACATATTAATTTAACAAATAATGAAATTTGGATAACTAATAACTAAACCACATGAAAACCGGTTTATATTTGAATAATAAAATGGATAAGCAAATTTATATTTTATCATTTGGTTTGAATTTTTAAAAGTGGAACAATTTAGATACAAATTTGATTAACGAATAATCGGTTTTTTTGCACACCCCTAATTGAAGTATTTTCTACGTCGGATGACATCGTATGGAACAATTTAAAAATCTACTTAGTGAAGGGAGTTCAATAGCAAGGAAAGTATTGCTGATCTAGTTCACCGGTATATGGTGTATTTGGAAGTCAAGGAATGCAAAAATATTCCTAAACAAGAAAATCGAGGTTGAAAATATTGTAGAAGAGGTAAAAATGCCATCTTGGAAGTGGTTAAAATTAAAAGCAAACTTAATTAGTTATGATATTGGTCAATGGTATATGTCCCTCAATGCTTGTCTAGGAATTATTGCTGACTGAGGTTAAGCAAAAAATTTTAAAATCTCTTGATTCGTTGAGTATGTGTGGACTTTTTTACTGCTTCGAAAGAATTTAGGAGATCGTCGTTGTTTCAGGAGTTTGTTTTCTGTGTTGTATAGAGTCTGTCTTCTTGCAGATATATTGATCCTGGAATGTAATAGGGACTCTGTAGAAAGAAATAAGTGGTAGTCGGTTTTGGTGAAGTTTCATTCCATGGTGGAGGTTTGTTTGAGTTGCTTCTTCGGACTATACAGCAGAGTTTTCTAGTGTAATGCAAGTCAGGAAGATCTTGGCTGAATCTTTCTGTCACTCTGAATTTTTTCTGTCATTTAATGTGCAGGAAGGGTGGGTGGTTAGTGTTTTGGCCTGATGTTTACAGTGGGAGATTCTGATCTAATTGTGTAGTGTGAAAGTCAAGTTCTGATATTGTTTTTGTAGTTAGTGTTTTATCGTTTGGGATGGGGGTGGTAGTTATGTTTGGAGATGATTTCTGGTTGCTTTGTTGTTCGATAGCCTATGTTGTTGTTATGATGTATCAAATTTTGGTGTGCACGCATGTCTCATACTAGTTGTTATTAATAAAATCTGTTTTGCCTTCTTTTTTTTTATAAAAAAAAGTTATTAATAATTAAATGTATAAATGTGATAATTGTACAAAACTGTCCCGATTTATTATTGATTATTATACATTGTCATAAATATCTAATATGATTTAATGACTAAAATATAATCAAGACAATAATAATAAGGGGTAAAGTTGGTAAAGTTTAATTAAATGATGCATTGTCAAAACTGTCCCTATTTTTTTTAGCTAAAGACTTTTATTTTGGGACAAAGGGAGTAAGAGATACTATGTTTTTTATTTTTATTTTTATTAATAAGCCGTTTTTTATTTTACATTTTAAAAAAGAATTTAATTGAAATGCACCGACAATGTAAACAAATTTTACTTTGTCAGTGAATCATAATCGTTAAATTTTTTAAGATGTTTAATTTTTTCTTTAACGTATGAAATATCATTTGTGAATGATTGTGATGCATTGATTGTGTAAAATATTTTACACTGCTAATGCATAACAATTATTATTTTTAAGAAATATAACTATTATGGTATAGAAATGAAAAATTACAAAATAATTTTACAAAATTATCCTTCGTTAATGATATGAAAAAAATTAATAAAAAATAAAATAATAAATATTTAAAGGCATACTAAAAAAAATAACATTAAAAAATTATTGATATTATAAAATGAATTATAATTTAGTAGTATAATTTTTCTCTCCCTAAAACTACTTATATAATAAAAAATAGAAGGGGTATATTAAATCAACCCTCTATAAATATAAATATAATGATCAAATACAAGAAAAAGAAAAAATATTTTAGTAGTTACATAAACATTTGGTCCTTGATGATATTATATCACTGATAAGATTTATAAATTAGCAAGAATAATTATTATATTTCCTTATGTTGCACCAAAATTGGTTAATGGTGAAATTGTAATAGAAATTGTGCAAGAAGATATAGAAAATTAAATCCAATTTTGGGATAATGCATTGATATTGTATGTAATGGAGGAAGATTTGAGCATGAATACGGTGAATAATTAAGTGAAGATGTGGAACTTTGTGAAAATTCCATATCTGTACTACCACGATGAAGGCTACTTCTTGTTGTGATTCAATTCTCATGAAGATAGGGAGATGGTGATGATGAATGAGTCTTACACCATCAGAAATTTGCCGATGATACTGAAAGAATAGAGACCTGATTTCAATTTGAAAAAGGATCTGCTGCGAACCTTCCAATCTGGGTTAAACTTCCTCAACTTCCACTCCATCTTTGGGGTGTGAAAAGCCTAAGAAAAATTGGAAGTGCGATTGATACCCCACTGGTGACTGATGAATGTACGAAAATAAACTCAGAGTTTTATATGCTCGCGTTTTGGTAGAGGTGGATATCATTCAACAACTGGTCAAAGAGGTTGCTATAAGAGATTGTGAAGACAAATTGTTAAAAAAAGCTATGGAGTATGAATGGAAACCCAATGCCAGAAAATAGGACACAAGTGTACAACACAAGCCAATACAAAAAAATGGAGACCTAAGGAAAAACCCTCTGAAAAAAGTAAGGAGCTAACACCAATTAAGGCTAAGAAGGCTGTTAGAGAAGACAGTGAGGAAGCTGATGAAGAGCCACGGACCTTGGCGAGGAAAGCGATAAAAGATAGAGGCAAATGTATAGTCTATTCAGGATCATGTTCTGGTATGAACTGCATTAATGGCTTTGAGGCACTTAAGGTTTTGAATGACCTTTTGGTGGCCATAAGAAATGGTAAATGATTGTTTTTGGAACATAAGGGGGCTTAATAAAATTGGCAAGCTTAGGAAGATTAGTTCCTGTCTCCTAGAGCTTAAGCATGTTATTGAAATTTTGATTGAGATTAGAGTTAAGAAGAACAAAGCTAAGGATATTTGTGATAAGCTTCAAATCACAGATAACTACTTGGATAACTATAGGGATCATGATAATCGGATACTTTGGCTTGGTTGGGACAATAGTAGAGTTGATATCCAATAAATCCAAAGTTCTAGTCAATACATCCATTGTGGAGTGTATGATGAGAATGGTGTGTTTAAACATTGGTTGATTGCTGTATATGCTCACAATCAATTAGACAAGAGAAGGCTTATGTGGGAGGATATTGAGCACCTACATGGGAGCCACCAAGGCCCTTGATGTGTGCTTGGTATTTCAATAATGTTACCAAGGCCCAAGATCGTATTGGTGGGAGAATTTTCACTGAATCTGAGTACGAAGATCTTCAGAGTATGATGTAGAGAACAAGTCTTTGTGAGATGGACAATGTTGGAGACTACTTTACTTGGCCAAATAAGCAAGTGGTGGGTACTATCTACTCTAGAATAGACAGATTGTTGGGAAATGTTGATTGGTATCTGGATACTTGGACACCATTCTGAATGTCCTTCCCCCTAATATTTCTTACCATGCTTTATTGTATGTAGCCAGTAAATGCAAAGAGAGGAAAAACAAAAGGCACTTCACATTTATCAACTATTTGGTGGATATAGCAGGTTTTAATGAGGTAGTAAAGAGGAGTTGGGATCAACCTTTCAGGGGCAAACCTATGTATGTGCTCTGGAAGAAGCTCAAAAGTTGCAACCTGTGCTAAGAAAGTTTAGTAAACCTTTGTCAAATGTTAAGAAAAACCTTGTTAAGGAAAGAGAGGATTTGAAGAAGGCTCAAATGGATCTTATGGCTAATAGAATGGATACCATGCTAATTGAGAAAATTTCAAGCAATGTACTGAGGATTTCATAAAGTACAATGAGTTAGAGGAAAATATGCTTATGCAAAGAGCCAAGACTGATTGGCTTAGGATGGGTGATGGAAACAACTCTTTCTTCTATGCCTCCATCAAAGCCAAGCAAAATGCTAAAAGTATAAAAGGCCTGTAAAAAGCTGATGGCACTATTCTTCAGTCCTAAAAGGAAGTTGAGAAGGAAATCTTGGAGTATTATGGAAAGTTGATGGCGAAACAAGACAATAATTTGCAGCACATTGATATAGAGGCCATGAGAATGGGTAACCGGCTGCCTATGGAACAGAGGGAGCACATGATTTGAAATATCTCTGAGCAGGATATAGTCAAAGCTCTAAAAGGAATTGGAGATTTGAAATCCCCGAGTACTGATGGCTATGAAGCAAGATTTTTCAAAGCTTGTTGGCATATCATCAAGGAGGATGTGATAGTTGCTATCAAGGAATTCTTTGAAACTTGTAGTTTATACAAAGCTTTCAATAGTACTATTGTCACTCTTATTCCCAAAGGTAAGCAAGAAAGGTATGTTAAAGATTATAGACCCATTGCTGGTTGTACAACTTTTTATAAGATCATATCTAAAATCATGACTGAGAGGTTGGGGGATATCTTGCAAAGCATTGTCAGCCCTTGTCACGCAGCTTTTGTGCCAGGCCAAAATATTCATAATCATATCCTGCTTGCTTATGAGTTGTTGAAAGGATACACTAGAAAGGGAGGTACACCTAGAGTCATGATGCTAATTGATCTGCAAAAGGCTTATGATATGGTCAATTGGAGTGCTCTATAGTGCATTCTAAAGGAAGTAGGAATTCCTAGACAATTCATTCATTGGATCATGATTAGAGTTACCAGTGTTTCTTATAAGTTTAATATTAATGGTGATATGTCTGATGTCTTGCAAGCCAAGAGAGGTATCAGGAAAGGTTATCCTATATCACCCTTGCTTTTTGTTATAATCATGGAGTACATGCATATGTCAATGATAAAGATGTAAAGAGATCCCAACTTCAACCATAATGCTAAGTATGAGAATCTGGGTCTGACAAACCTTATATTTGTTGATGATATCCTGCTATTCTGCAGGGGTGATGCTATATCAGTGGGAATGATGATGGATGCTTTTAGGAGATTTACTAACTCTACAGGGCTGGTGGCTATCCCTAACAAGAGCAAAATGTTTTTTTTTGGTGGTATAGACAACAGTAATAAGGAGAGTCTTAGATGCATCACTGAATTCCAAGAAGGATCATTTCCAGTCAAGTATCTCGAAGTTCCCCTTACAAGTAAGAAACTTGCCATTCATTCTTATACGTATTTATTTGAGAAGATAGTTGGTAGGATGAAGCACTGGACCACTAAAATTTTGAGCTATGCAGGGAGAATTCAACTTGTTAAAAGTATCTCATGTGCTATTGCCCAATATTTGATGCAATGTTTCCTCATCCCCAAGTTTGCGATCAAGAAAATTAATTCTATATGTAGAAGCTTCATATGGAGTGGTAATTGTGAGGCTAGTAGGAAGAGCCTATCGACTTGGAAGAGAGTTTGTAGTACTATTAAGCAAGGAGGCCTGCAGATCATCAATCTTACTATGTGGAATTGTATGCTATTGTTGAAGTGCCTTTGGAATCTTTGTAGGAAGGCTGATAGCATATGGGTGATGGGGATGTATAGTTATTACCTAAAAGGCACTTTTGTCATGGGTTATGAAGCAAAAATTCATAACTCATGGATTTTTAAAAGCATTTTGAAGCAAAGGGAGAAGCTGGGGGATATACAGCAGTTGTGGGATCAAGTTCTACTTCAACAAAAATTTCCTCTGCAACCTTTCTATACTAGGGTGATAGATGATGGTAACATGGTCATTTGGAGGATCAGTACCAATAAGGCCAGACCTAGACCTGTGATCTTCCTGTGGTTAGCTTTCCATGGTAAGCTAGCTACAAAGGATAGAATAAAGAGGTTTGGCATGCTGCATGATAGCATTTGTAGCTTATGCAAAGAGAAAGAAGAGTCAATCAAACACTTATTTTTTCAATACAACTAGTAGAAGACCCGTGCGTCCGCACGGGTATGAGGAAAAGAATGAGATATTGTATTAAACATGTTGATAGTTGAATTATATTCAAATTCACATTAAGAGCAGTATTTATGTATGTTTTTTATTCGAATAAAACTGATTGAATCTCGTGTAACTTTATGAAGTATTTGAATAAGATTTTAAACATTACAGTGAAAAGATTGAAATATATAATAATCAGAATTTTAGACTTTTCATTTTTTAGAACAATATTTATACATGATTTCTTATTTGAATCTAATTGGTTTTGTCTCGTATCACAACATATTAATATATCCAACCATAACACCATGGATTTCCGAGTGTGCCTTTAGTGTACAATGCAAATTATCAATAACATTAGCATGGACTGCATATCATCCACATAGAGCAACAAAATAACAAATGAATTACCTAGTCGAAATCTGAAGTAAACACAGTGGTCGAACTGACTTCTGATGAAACTTATATGTTCCATGAACTTGTCGAATCTCCTATTCCACTGTCGAGGAGATTGTTTCAGTCCATATAAAGATCTATTCAGTTTGCACACATAATCTTCCTCCCCCCTTTCAACATACCCCTTAGGTTACCTCATCAGGATTGTTTCATCTAGATCACCATACAAGAACGCATTCTTCACATCCATCTGTTCCAGTTCAAGGTCAAACTGGGCCACCATGGCAAGCAACATTCAAATGGATTTGTGCTTCACAATAGGAGAGAACACATCATTGAAGTCGATACCTTCTTTCTGAGTGAACCCACTAGCAACCAATCTTTCCTTGTATATCTTCGACGCCACTCCTTCGATTCCTTCCTTAACTTTGAAAATCCATTTACAGCTGACTAACCTGGCTCCAGCAGGTTTCTTGATCAGTTCCCAGGTGTTGTTATCATGAAGAGATTTCATCTCATCATCCACGACCTTCAGCCATTCAGTCCTTTTTCGACTCCTCATAACTTCCTTATAGTCTCTAGGTTCTTCGTCTAGAACCTCACTTGTAGAGATTAAGGCATAAGCTATAAGATTTGCATACCCAAGTCTCTGAGGTGGCTTGATGACTCTCCTCGACCTGTCTCTTGATAGCAGGTAGTCATTATCAGTCTCCTCATCTTCGACAACATCTTCTGTGTCTTCTTCGACTTCATCTGGGGTAAACAGTTCAGCATCAACATGCTCCACCTCAACATGAATCTCTCCCTGTTCCAGCTCTTAGTCAACATCATCAGTTTTCTTGAAAGCCATCTCTACTTCATTGAAAACTACATCTCGACTGGTGATACACCTCTTGTGACCTAGCTCTAGGCACCATAGCCTATAAGCTTTGCCTCCTTCTGGGTATCCCATGAACATGAATTTCAGAGCTCTAGGTTCGACCTTGTCTTGCCTAATATGAGCATAGGCCACACAGCTAAATACTCTCAGTTTGTCGAGACTAGGTGGATGTCCCGACCAAACTTCTTCAGGTGTCTTTGATCCGCGGTCGCGCGCGGATCAAAACCGAGCAATTTGAAAAATATAGTAAAGCGACGATAACTCGAATGTCGATTCACAAAGATTCTTATTTAAAATAGTCAATTGAGACGAACTAGGGGAGGGGGGTTGTTTGATTAAGAATGCGATTAAGAAAGAAAAAGGCAAAAATAAATGATTTTGAAATAAGTGAGTAAAAACAGGTAAATCCACAGGCAAAAATAAATGATTTTGAAATAAGTGAGGAAGGTGCATTAAAATGCACTGATCAAATTCCCTCACACTTGAACCTTTGCACTCTGAGCAAAGTATTGTCAAAACTCATGAAACACAAAAACATTCAGATATTCAATCTAGGCTGTGAACTCCTCTTTGGTCAAGATTGCATTGATAGGTACCACTTTTGCATATTAAGGATATCGTAAGAACACAAATCCGTAATTTTGCGGTAATAAGACTCCCTCCTATACAAACCAATCCAAATCATGCCGTTATGCCTAAGTCTAACTTTCTCATCCTCCTTTTTGCTCTCTTTCATTCTAGTGCAATTACATTAAGCCCTTTATCTATTCACACACATGGTAACTAAGCTTGTTAGTGACTATGATCCATATTTTTTCTCAACAATTCATAATTAGACTTTTTTTTCATTTTTTTCTTCACTTTTTGTCTTTTTCTTTTTGTCTTTTTTTTGTCTTTTTTTTTTTCCCCTTCTTATTAAGCACGGGATCATTCACTTATTTACATCAGCTCAATTACTTAGCATGCGATTTCTAGATGGTGTTGACTGCTAGATAAACTACTTAAGAGCTATTAAAGGACGAGAACTCAAGACTAAGCCATAACAAGTATCTAAATCGATTTCCATATTTGGGAGACTCAAGGTGTTAAAACAATACCGATCTTATAAAAATTTCCCAAGTCTTTACAAACTGACCTCCAATTGATCTACAGCCCAAAAATTTCAAAAAAATGCATTGTGTATTTCTAAGTAAACAATTTTTTAAAAAATGAAAACAAAACAAAATAAATAAAATTGAAAGAAATAAAACAAAGTAAATGGTTCCCTCCCCCACACTTAAAGCATACATTGTCCTCAATGAAAGAACATAAATATAAAATAAGAGTGAGAGAAAGTAAGGAACACACCCGAGGAGTCAAGGTGGATAAGTGATCACATAGGCATTCTTTCCCAAAGAGACATTTCTTGCAGTCTCCTCTTCCAAAGTGGGGATCTCATACAGTAGCTTTGGGTAGCATCCATTGACCTTGAAATATTTATTAGTATCTTCTCCTTTTATTCTAAGATCAAAAAAGAATCTTCGATAAATAAAAGTGTTGCATTGGCACGTGAATGTGATCGCTTTTGTCATAACATCAAGAATTAGAGGATTAAAGGGCTGCCTCACTAATTTCCTTCTATCTTCCATAGAGGTCCATCTAATTCTCTTCTTATGTTTCTTCAAAACCTGCAAAAATTTATTATCTTCATCAAAATCAAGGTTAGAAGAAATTATAACTGGAAGCTTTTTATCCATATCTAAATAAGCCTAATTCAGATTGTTATGAAGTGGTTTAAGCTCCAAGGGGGAGGTTGTTCAATGGATGGTGAGGTTGGGGCAGCCGTGATGTCAAGAGTTTCAGCTGTATAAACAACTTCATCTGTATGAAAAACATTACCCTGCACGACAGCATTAATCTCAGCACAAACAGAACAAATGTTAGTGTCGGTACATGAATCACAAGAGTAAGTATCATCATAATATAATAAAGATGGAAAATCATATACCAACTTAGGATAAGTATCATCAACTAAATCAGATAGTAACTCTTTTGGATTCACTACTTTTTGGGCTGGTAGTTGGTTTGATTCTTGAGCTTCCTGCATGGCATTCACTATAGTGGCAAGCTGTCCAATTTGTGTTTGCAAGGCTAGGATGGAGGATTCTGTCCGTTGTTGGAATTGGAGCTCATTTATAGCTATTTGCTTGACAAGGTCCTCTAATGAAGGTTCAGAAGGTGTAGAGCACAAAATTTGGAATTCATTCATATGCTTATTCGGATCCTCACCTGCAAGTTCATTAAACCTTGGCAACAAGTGTATTAAACCAGATTCCAATTCCAAAGGTACAGTAACAACAGGATATTCCGTACATAAAGCATTATAATTCATATCATGGGTAACAAGTTCTCTAAGAGTTCTTTGATTTGTTATATTAAATTTAATAGGAAAATCAACAAAGAAAATAAAACAAAGAACAAATTCGGCAATGCAACAACAATTAGAAAAATACCAACAACGTCCCTGTTAAGAAAAAGAATGGAAAAATAGAAAACTGAATAAAATTAAATCTAAAAATTATGAAAATATAACTAAAAATCAAATCAAATCAGAATAAATCTTTACAAAAAATTTCGGATTTTTTTGAAAATATGAAAATAAAAAATAAATCAAATAAACCAGAAAAATAAAGAATTTGCGATTTTCATGGTCAAAATCTTTTAGAATTCTATTCTAAAGGAGTATTATTTGTTGATTTTTTTCGGATTTTCTGGAAAAGTTCGAAGCAAATCGAAACAGTAGCTTCCAACTTACCTGATAGGCTGAAACGCTTACCCCTATTCTGCAACCCTGAAAATTAACACACAAAAAAAAACCAAAAAACAAAAAAACAAAAAATTCTAACAAAATTCTAAAATTGGCTAAAATTAATAAGAATCCCGGGCAACGGCGCCAATTTGATATGCGGTCGTGCGCGGATCAATACCGAGCGATTTGAAAAATATAGTAAAGTGACGGTAACTCGAATGTCGATTCACAAGGATTCTTATTTAAAATAGCCAATTGAGACGAATTGGGGGGGGGTTGTTTGATTAAGAATGGGATTAAGAAAGAAAAAGGCAAAAATAAGTGATTTTGAAATAAGTGATTAAAAACAGGTAAATCCACCGGTTCGACTCCCAACTTATCATCGGTTATTACAATTCAATATTTTCAAAAAGGTTTCAATTCCTATTCGATTGCAATATTGACGAACAAGCGTCGACAATATCGCACGACTTTTATTCCTAATTACCGAATTAAGCAGACGGTTAAAGATATGCGCAAACTAACGAAAAAGCTAAGTTAATCCGCGATTGAGTTAAGGAATATTGATCGACCAAATTAAATCCAATTTATCTTATAATAACGAATTAAGCAAACGAAATTATAAAATAATTTGGAACGGGATTAAAAGAAATAAAGCACAATTGAATTGAAAATAAACCTCAAAGAAATTACGGGATTCAAAACCGGTGGATTTTCCCTTAGGATTAGTTCGCCATGAAAACAATGAAAAACAAAGCAAAATTCGGAAAATAAACTAGGTGAATGTTTTGCATCACAGCAGCAACCTTAAATAGAAAATAACTGGGGCAGAAACCTAAACTAGGCCCGCAAGGAAAACTACATTATCACAAGTCAGAAACTTCAACGAATTATTCGAGACTCAAGCAATCTGAATCAGCT